ACCACAGTGGGGGGCTTTGTTTTTCTGAGCTGAGGGTTCATTAGAAAGAAGAATGCACTACTTGTTTTTCGTCATCAGCCCACACACTCTCGCTCAGACGCACGTTTTGCGTGTCTAGACTTGAAATATAGGCAGAACCCAAGAGAAGAAAAATAATTTAAAGACTTCCTAACCCACAGAGACAGTGAGTGTGGTTTTCCTGTTATGTATCATAAAACAGTTTCTTTAGCATGACTTTACACGGTATACACGCACAGGCAGTTTCAGGGTAAAACAGGTACATTTGGACACTGCATGTATATGATGTGACTTTGGGGTTCCTTAATGCAACGTTAGAGGGAATACTGCCCTTTTCCTTCACCTAATTTATCTGTCTCTGATATAATAAAATAAATATTTTAATTATTAGATGTTTATTTAGAATTAATTAGAAACAAAGGATAAAAAGCCTGACTATGATGGCGTTCGTTATCATTTGTTATTGATGGAAATCTTACAGAGTCATAACTTCACCTTTAAGAGCGATATTAACATATTGCAATGTATCGTTCACTCAAACATACTTTAAGTTTTAAATCCAATTTTTTTCCTAATGTGAATGAAATAACTTACATTTTTTGTAAGAAGTAGTCAAAGAGAATTGGCTAAATAATATTTTTCTTAATGTATAAAAATAACAAACCAAAACAACATTAGTACATTTTAAAATATGGGTCACTGGAGTCGATAAATGAAACAGAACAGATACTCAAATTCATTTTTTGGGTAAAAAAGAATCAAAACTTTTACTGAATTTTAACCAGAAGGTGGCAGTGCACCCTTCTGCATAGCAATTTAACTGACACACACACACACACACACACACACACACACACACACACACAGCTAAAGGAATAATTTATTTCAAAGATATTTAGATTTATGATACCTCTATTGTTTTCTTTTGATAAGGGAGATATTAAAAATGTTCTTATTTCATAAATTATGTTTCTCAATCATTTTTAGGTCAACCCGATCAGCTCAGGCATCAAATCTCTCTCTCTCAAGGCTTCGGCAGAAACCTTAAATGTCTGTTAGCCAAAACAACACAGTATAGTGGCTCAGAAAAAATGGAAAGCGTTAGCAAAACAAAGCTTTAAATGTTTTTAAAAAGAACAAAAAACCCATATCTATATTTCAAACAACTTTTCCCTTTTCACACCAATTTGCCATTTTTCCAGTGCTCTTTTACGTTTGGCTCTCCTCCCCATCAGTGAGGCTCGCCAGAACTTCGAGAAGCTCAGTGGACTGACTGGTGCCTCTTAGCTCACATAAATAAAAAAGTCCCACATGCAGGATGGGGTGTCAGAATAATTTAACAAAAG